GGTGGTGGAGGGGAGTCCCCATTACCTGTAAAGCGCTTTGAGTGGAGTGTCCAGAAAAGCGCTATATAAGTGTAAGCAATTATTATTATGTTAATTAAGTCATTATTTCACATACACTGATCCATTTTTTTCCATACACCATTCTATCTCACAGAACCTTTGAATTGTTAAATATAAAACCTTTATTTTTTTCAAGAAAAGATACATTTCAAATAACCAGGGCATCAAAGTAAGAAATTGTGATTCCCATAATTATGTATGTCTTTTCTGTCTAACCATGACACTCCTCACTCACATTCCATGACTCCTATTTTTCCTCCACCTCCTTGAAAAAAACAAAAAACAAAAAACCTCCAGAATTTCCAGAACGCAGCTTGTTGAAGGAGAAAACCAAACCGGAAGTTAAACCAAGCTATGAAAAATAACCTTATCTCCCAGAGAATGGACTTGACACACCGCCCTCTATCTCTCCCTATCCGGTCACAACAATCTAATCAGTACTCTAATCAAGTCTGCTCCAGTTTGCCCCTGTTCTCATCAGTCTTCTCCAGTCCTGCATCTTTTTTTTCCAAGCCAGCCTTGCCTAGGCTGACCTCCTTATACTTTTAAAATGGTCATGATTTTTCAAAGCCCCATAAGAGCAATGCAGCTCTCTGTGACTAACATCTACTTTATATAAGGAAGTGGAAACTCCTCTGTCTGCCTGGAAAGGCACTACATGGCAGGAGGACTTGATGCAGGTGTTCAAGACACTGCCATTTTGTGACAAAGTGAACACAATGATGTGCGTCATGCTTTTCATTAAATAAAGAACCGAAGAACACAAATGGAAATTCTGGGGAAGTAGAATGTGCACAGTATGATAAATTATGCCAACTTCTGTTCCGCCAGAATGATCAATTCATTTTTTTCCCCTCTGTTGATCACTTCTAGTGAATTCAAACATCTGCAGCATTGTTTGAAATGTCCACGTTGCGCCAGTTTCAAGACATTGCTTTATGCGATTTCGTGTTTGGCTTGTTCTGCTAACAGAATAAGACTCTGTTTGTGAAAAAATAACGACAGAAGTTCCTGGGGCTAAATAAAAATCAAAAGAGTCATTCTTAGTTTAGGGTTGGATGGATTATTATACAACATGGATTTTGTAATTGAGAAATAAGGGATTTTACGTGCTTGGTCTGTTTCATTCTGTTAAAATATATACAGCAGGGTCAACAAGATCCCCCCTCAAACCTGAGGTGTCTGTATTCATGACTTACTTACACTTGTTCATTTTAGAAACAACCTTTTTTCCTGCTTATATCACACCCTCTGAAAGCCACATAAGTACATACATGAGTTACTAATCCCATGAAAAAAGTTAATCGTTAGTTCAAGAAGGTAATATGTCAACTTTTCCCCAACATAATTTTCTTCCGCATGCAAAGAAAAACACTTGAGACATGCTAGCAAAAAGCACTCCAGTAAACTTACTATTAGAGTAACACTGCGATAATGCAGGTCAAGAATGAACTCTAACAAGGGTAATTAGCAATCGGTTACTTCAATACAAATTAAAAGTACAACTTAATTAGAACCACTTGGCAAACATTTATAATGAACTGTCAGAAATTACTGCTAATACAGCAGATTTAGTCCAGAGTTAATTGCATCCAGAGAACAGTTTCACAGTGCTTAGCATTGCATAGTAAGTACGTTCTCCCTGTGTTTATGTGGGGTTCCTCAAGGTGCTCTGGTTTCCTCCCACAGTCCAATGATACACTGGCAGGTTAATTGGCTTCTGGGAAATTTGGTCCTGGTGTGAGTGTGTGTGCCCTGTGATGGGCTGGCATCCTGTCCAGGGTGTACCTTGCTTTGCGGCTGATGTTTACCGGGATAGGCTCTGGCTCCCCTGTGACTCTGAACTGGATAAAGATAAAGATAGCAAAACAGATAGAGACCTATGGTATCATGATGATATATTCATCTCAAGAAGAAACACTTTCTGCTTTACATCTGTAATCTGCACACTAGCTCTTCATCTCTCATCCCTCTGTGTGCCTATATCTCTAGTGTTCTGCCTTTGTTTGTGTCTAATCCTTATCATTTGAGTCATTACTGCACTTTATAAAAGTAGGACTGGAAACGACACATTATTCGAATGTAAAAACAACACACTGTCTCCTCTTAAAACTTTAGCTTTAGGTTGTCTCATTTCTTGAGGTTAATCATTAACTGTGGAAGGTAGGTACTATAGGTAGATGCTGTATACAGAGATAGAGAGACCTGCCTTGAGTCAAAACCTAACAGCATACATCATATTTATAATGATAGCCAGTGTTCACTCCTCTGAATGTAGCGCAACGTGATGCTTTTCAAGAAAATAAGAAGCCGACAGTGTGTGAACATTAGATGTTGAAAGCAAAAAAATAAATAAATTCTCAGGTTACCCAGATCACATCAAAGAACAGCAGGTGCCTCTGACCGAGAATGTTTCATTCGTGACATAGGTGCAGAGTCAAGTTTAAAGTTACTGTTTCATTGCCCTTTATTCTTTTCAGAAAGAGTATACAGCTCCTAGCAACAATACCTACACAAAAAGGTTGAACCAGTAAACAAAGCCCAGAAAAGACACTACTGTTGACTTTATGAGGACTTCCTGCCTCCGAGTTCAAAAACCAGTATCTCAAGTTACACGAGTTTACGTTGTCATAGTATCTATAGTATGTGATGAAAAATGGGAAACAGTTAGGTTTTGAAAATGAACTAACACTTAATCGTCAGCTGTTTTCCAAGAAACTTAACAAAAAATGTAATTGTTTTGTTTAGGCACTGAACATTTGCTTCCTTTTTTTACTTTCCCAGATAAAACACAACTGATAATTCAGGGAAACAAGTATTTGGACTAAAAATTGGCTATTAAATATAAAGCAAAGAGTAAAAATAAGATTTAATGCTCTGATTGGGGTGATATAATTGGCAGGGTACCACAGGGATCTATACTAGGACTACTGCACTACTTAATTTATGTATTTATATGGATTCCAGAATATTAAATTAGTCAAGCTTTTGAAACCATGTTATAGAAAGGATATTGCTGTTCTGGAATCTGTCCAGAAAAGAGCAAGCAAATCTATTCTGGAAATTAAAGGAATGGCCTACTTTGACACACTGAAGGGACCTGAAACTTTTAAGTCTTTAACAGAGAAGACTACGAGGGGACCTTGTACAAGAATTGAAGCTCCTCATTCAAAGTCAACACAGCAGATTTCTTCAGATTGAACAGAGAAGCACAGAGTTTCAGAGCACACATGGAAACTATGTGGAGGTGGTGGACAAGAAGCACCTCTTCACACAAAGTGTGGAAGGAGTGTAGAACAGACTGTCAAGCCTTATTGCTGAAGACAATACAATAGTTTCTTTCAGGATGAGATCCAGGGATCAATTAACTACTAACTCCCAAACAACCTCTTCTTATCTTTAACCGTTCTTACGTTCTTTGTAAATGACCGTATGATTTCAGGTTTCAAACCGCAATGTTGGACCAGCTGCCTTCATCTGATCACGGAGGCGATATGGGAATTAACCCAGTATGGGACAAATAGTGAAGAAAATTTGTCCTACATAGCTATGGATACAACAAAGCAGCACATTCTTAGTTAAGTGCTGTGATAGGTTGCAGGGACAAAAGCCCACCCAGACAAAGATAGAAGGCCTGCTGTACTAGCACACTCAAATGGGAGCACCAGATGGAAAAATTAATTTCCATACCGTTTTGAGAAAACGGTCCTCAGCAGCTTTCCCATGATGCTCCCTGGCTCCTAGCAGGAAAAGAATGGGTCTGAACCCTTATCTGGTTACCTCAACAACACGGCTCTAGGGAACCAGTGTCTAAAAGAGTGACCTCATGTCACAGGACACAGGGCTGGAAAATCTTACACTAGATAAACTCAGCTAGCCTCCCCTGCTGTTCTTAAGGTCTCCCAGACACAACTCTACTGAAACTCAGATCTGACAAGATCAAGTCACAAGGTTGGATCGCTACTGCCTAATTATAATTCGGACATAATGATGGACTACGATTACATATGGCACAGTTATAGACGTTGCACTTTTCATTTTCACTCAGTTGAACAATTTGGATTTTGAGTCACTTTACCTGCATTGAAAAATCATAACTGCCATTTACAATATTATAAAGTACCTATAAACCTATAGAACCAGGTATCACAACTGCAGAACACAGCTACAGCAACAAACACTTCAAGCTCAATTAATCTGACCACAATTGTCAACAGCCCTTCTGAAATGCCGACAATAGACAGCACTTCTCATTGTCTTTGGTTGATAAACTCCCCTCTTTGTTTGTCAGCCAACAGAATTTCAAAAGACTGTTTGAAACAGCAGCTGCAAATGTGAAGGCAGAGGGGGAGGGAAGCTCTAAACATGAGGACAATCAACTACTGGCTGGCTGAGTGGTTAGCATTGCTGCTTTGTAAAGCTGGAGCCCTGGGTTCAATGCTTGCCCTGGACTGCTATCTGCATGGAGTTTGTATGTTCTCCTCCTGTTGCCGGGGGTTTCCTCCCACAGTCCACCGATACACTGGTAGGTTCACTGACTTTTGGAAAAACTGGCCCTGGTGTGAGGGTGTGTGTTTGTGTGCGTGTCCAGAGATGGATTGGTGTCCCATCCAGGATGAATCACACCTTGTGCCTTTGGTTTGCCAGGATGGGCTCTGGTTCCCCCACAACTCTGTATTGGATAAAGCATTTAGAAAATGGGTAATCAGTTACTAAAAGAAAAAAAAAGAACTGTGCTCCTGATCCATTTAGAAAATGGATAATCACATGCCTTGTCCCATTCATTGCTGCCAGTTTTTGCTACAGCTCAGCTCTTTAAATCCCACTTCCTGCTGGCTTCATCAGACAAGTTGAAAACTATTTTCACCAGCTCTTTTTCACGGTCTCTAAGGCCATGACTGGACACTTCTCCAGGTCATGGAGCAGAACTCCACAGATATCGATAATAAATTGGACACAGCAGTTGCAAGGTCGAGAAACAGCCTTTTTATTGAGTTTGCATTGAGTGTCATGTTATTGCCATTGACATTTGAAGAACACCAGTTATTAGACACTGTACAACACATGAGCTCGATGCACAGAGAGTGAGCACGCCACATCCAGGCCACACTGACCCAAGTACTGAGATAATTGGCCATCTTGAGTGGAAAAGAGGGAGCCTTCCACGTTCAAATCAGGTTGGAGTCTAATAACTGCCTAGTGTTCGGGAGAGGGACATGCAACCAAACTCCTAAAGCTCTGCAGACTGGCACACGGTCCTGATGTCCATCTTTATCAGGAGGTAAGCCTTCAAGAAAAAGGGGTTTTGATTTTTCTTTAATACAAATACGAACTTGCCAATCTAGCCCTGTTCCAGAAATGCAAGAAAAGAATTGTCTGCCCCACAGAGGGATCCATTCCATAGTTGACAAGGCCCGTTTCATCATGACCAATTCTCTGCAAACAGGCACGGGTTTCAAATCACGTATTTTGCTTTTTGAAATAGGCTATTTCTGCATAAAAAGTGGAAAAAAGTGAAATCTACAAATATGCCCCAAAAGTTGGTCCCTTCTTTACCTAAAACAATTTAGACGCTACAAAAGAAATTCAGAATGACTCCGTTTAAAAAATTCACTGTTCTTCACTTAAAACACTGCAAACTGTACCCGCAGGCATCAATTGAATCAGAAGGTACTGCTGTGTTATTTCCTCCGATTACAGTATCTTACATTTCCTTCACTGAAGGAGATCAAAAGACATCTTTCTAGGAAACCACAACAATCTAAGACATTCAGATACATCGTATGTTTCTTTTAGAGTCTTCTTCCATATTTGAGTCACAAAACTAAGTGACAAAGTCTGGGAGAGGTTACATTAATTTCTAAGCCATTGTCTCCGACGGATTTGGTTTTAATAACAGGGTGTTGTTGAGAATCAAAACCTGTGGTTGTGAAGGAAGAGGAGCAAAAAAAACAAATCAAAAGGGACCAACTTTTTCCTGTTTCAAACAAATTAGGGTATGTGATTCATGGCGCTACACTAATACATTAGAGGTAAGCCCAAAGACGATGAATTTAGCTCTGGTTTAACACGGCTGATGGAAAAAGCAAGGCTGTGTTCCATTTGGAAGCTCAAGATCGCAAAAGCAAAGGAATTCTGGGATGGATGACGGTTTCTGTGCCAAGAGCTGCATCTTATATGTCAAAGCCTGAATGCCTGGTGCTCACTCCAGCCATCTGAAATTCCTTCACTGTAGTAAACCATAATGAGCTAATCAGTAGTAAGGCTTCCTCTTTAAATACTGTACAGTGAATAAATAGTCATTTGGATCAAAACAATACTACAGACCTCTCCCTCCCACCCCCTTCCCCAACCTCTAATTTGTTTTCGGTAACTAACACCTTCCTTCCCTATCTGGTAACAGGCAGCATTTGACTGATAACCAACTCATAGAAACTTACTTTAACCCCTTCAGTCCTTTCGCTGGGAGTTGTTTCCTGACAAAAACCAATTCGCAGCGCTGCTTTTTGGAAGCAACACAATGTACCAATTCAAGCACTTGAAATACTTTCACCCTCCACCTCGAAACGCAAAACGTTTGTTTTCAACAGCTCGCCTGCGGCAAATATGACCTTTTAGACGAAACTGCAATTTCCTTTAACAGCTGATCCCTTTCCATTAGGTGATGTTTTACTAATGCCAGCATACACCCTATATTATGTGGATTCTTAGACAGCTAGAAACGAGTGTGCGCAGCTTTTGGGATGAATGCCAAAGAGTTCAGGGCTGAGCACCAGAAACAGTGTTTATTAACTGGGGATAGGTAATAAAGGAAGGGCTTGGCAAGTTATACTCAGATGAACAATTGCTATTCTCATCCTTCAAAAATAGTTATTCTAGAATACAATTTTGGTTCTATTGTAGTTCTATCCTAATCTCAGGGGTATATCTGAAACCCATCCAATAACTCCCATTCAGAATGTTTCATATCAAGCAGCTGGAACAAAGTGAAATACCTGGGCTCAGCTGTTCAGGATAACGTGTATGTCCTTCGCAGGAAGTGTCATTTCATAATTATGACCTGAAGACTGGCCAACTTCACCCTTCAACAAAACCCAGATCGCTGCTAAGAAGCAATTCTGGAGTGACCAGCACTACAGTCTCTGCTGTCTTCTTCCAGTTCATTTTTTTTTGGTTTGGTATGGTTCCTTGGCGGTTTTTAAGTTCCAGGGACAAATCCCCCGATTGTGATTTGGAATAAAAAAAATAATCTTGCAAAAACTAAGAGAATCTGACATTCTGCAGCTCTGCAGGTTTTGTTTTAGAAGCCAGGATTTATTGTATTATAAATGAGGATTAGCAGCCTAACATCTTCACCTGACATGACTGTTTTAAGTCAGGAAAGACTCAAGATTTCTTTGGTGTCCATTTCCAAGACACTAGAAAAAAGATGAAAAAAGTGATTTCTCTAAATCAGATCACTTTCATTCTAAATACAGAATTTGTGCAGCACTTTTGATAAGGTTATGGGCTCTTTTTTTGTTGTCTTGGCAGCAAGACTCCTGGGACCCATATAACTTGGTTTGCAGACAGTGTTTTGTACTCCACAGCAGGCTTTGGGTCACACTTTTAAAAAGGGGTTAAAATAAGTTTTCAGAATCCTAAATAGAGAGCACATTCAAAGCCTACAAACAGCATAACCACCAATGCAGTCCTCTTTTGCAGTCAAATCAACACCTGGCCAGCTTCTACGTTGCCTCCTATTAACCCACCCCCGAGCACTTTTGGCCAAAATTGCAGGTGGCCTTTTTCAGCTGCAGTGGTTTCCAAGGCAACGGTGTAGTGATTCGGTTCACAAGCTCCTTCACTGTACTGCAGGCCCCAGGTTAAAGGAGGCTACCTGGGGAGACACTGTTTGACTAGACCTTCAAGTACTTCAGAATTATGCACCAGTATTTAGGGTCTGAATGCTTTTTTCGGCCCACAATCCTTTTCGGTTTCATTTCAGAACAGAAACAAGAAGAAAAAAAATGGTCAAGCGGTCTTTGAGTCTAAACAGTTCAAATCTAGATCCTCCTCTGTCTATCCAGTTAACCACACTCCTCTCTGCCGAACGCAGACATGCCAAACACACACACACACACGCAAACAGCCAGACACGCACAGCTCATCGACTCCTTCCTGAGAACAAGTGCCCGGTAAATTTTGGCACAAAACATTTTTTTTTATTTTTAGCCAATTTTCACCACGTTCCATCTGCCTCTTCTCTCTCTATGCACCTCTCTCCGTCTCCCTTCCCCCCCGCCTTCTCCTATTTCTTTTTGTACTTCGTCACCACCAGAAAAAAAAATACCCTCCACCTTCCCTTGAAAAGAAAGGAAAAAAAAAGGTTTGCAAATTCAAGGCACAATGTCTCTTTTCATTATATATTCATTATTGTCAGTGTTTTTTTTCTCAACTCCCAACAAGGTAAAGACGCCTGTCAGTTAAGGTAGCCTTCGCCCCTTCCCCATCTCTCTCCTGTAAACCTGTCCTCCCTGCCCTCCTCTCCATGTCACACCGGACAGAACAGGCTTTTCAGGGAGCGCGGCTGAGAGTCTAGTCCGGTAAAAAGAAAAGAAACTAACAAACTCAAGTGTCACGTCCTGTTACAGGTTTGTTTCTGAAAAACAAGCCATATCCATCAGCTCTTTTTGGCAAGCTAGTTAAATAAGCACTAGTACTGATAGATAAAGAGATACACACGGCACGTGGTTCGTGTTAAGTAGATGCGTTTTTTTTTCTCTTTTGTAGAAATTCGGGTTTCCTTTGCTCATCCGTTTCACGTAAATGCAAGCAGGGACGTTGTGTTGCCATGGAGACTATTTTTTTAAACTTAATTTTTTTCTTCTGGTTGCTGTTTTTAGGAGACCCCGTTGACCAAAGCCGGGGGCTCGCTTGTTGGGGCAACGTCGTCGCCGCTGGGGGAACGTTTTGCCGGCTTGTGATCTGCTCTGGCGTTCCCGTTTTCCTGAATAAAAGAAAAGCAAGCTCTGGTCAGGGCGGATGACAATGACCCTGCTCCCTGGTTAGCTTCCCTTTCTGCAAACAAAAAATGGATTAGGTCTGGACTGACAAAGAAATCCAGATCTTTGCTCTTTTTTTTAACAAAAGAGTTTTTTTTTTGGTTAGAGACCCACGTGAAAGATCACGTCCAGGGATCTGCCAACACCTGTTCATCATTCCTAGAAAAAGAAACACCTTCCCAGTTTTAATCCTTTTTTAGAGTTGTGGCTTACAAAGAAAATTCCTAAATGAAAAAATCGAGTTAAGTGGGTGGCACAGTGGTTAGCCTTGAGAGGTGTGAATGTGTGTCAGTCAGTCCAGCGATGGACTGGCGTCCTGTCCAGAGCGTGGCCTGACTTGAACAGGCTTTAGGTCCCTTGGATTGGATAAAGTTGTTAGAAAAATGGATGGATTTATTAGGTAAGTGAAGTGGGAAATACAAGGATCCTGGCTAAAAATGACAGAGGTCAGTTAACTTTGCAACCAAGTTAATAGTCAAGGTTTAGATAGTCCATATGAAAATCAATGAGGTACTTGTACAGCCCCTTACACCTCAAAGAACTAGTCCTTTTTATATGTCAAAGCACATATCAAGTTCAACCAGTGATTAAGTGTAGCCCAACTGGGCTAACAAGATCCCTTCTGCACCAACAGCCCCACTGCACAACAGATCAAATACTGCTTATTGCTTTAAATATTAACATTGCAAGGAGTAAGTATGATATGTCACTTTAAAGCAGACTGCACACAAAATGAAACTTTACTGGGACAGCAGGTAGGATTTTGTAAGGCAGTCAGCCCTTCTGCCTCACAGCTCTTGGATCAGTTCTGGACTCTGTGTGGAGTTTGCATGTCTTCCTAGCATTTTGGTCAACTGTTTCCCTCCTGTTTGCCAGTACCACACGGACAGAAACACAACCGAACAAGAGGGGGTGGAATGATTTCCTGTCTCCTGCAGCCATTCTGATGAAATTCTGACTGCGTGAGCAAGTAAGGACCAGGCTCCAGCAAAATACGCTGGCATTGTTAATTGGCTTGGGGTGTGTGCAATATTATATGCATGAATGCATGAAAAGGTCTATTGGGCTGGCTGTATTTATGTTCCTAAGAAAGTACAACTGAGAATGTGTCCTTCAATGTGGGTTTCATGGGAGGCTCTCTTGTATAAATTAGATGACTGACACTGGTGGGGATAAATAGATCCCAGCCTAGGAGGTCACACATTTATCCCAGTTTGAAATAAAACTCTTCACTGTTATATGGGGTCTGGACACTAGAGGTCACCTTTTTACCAGTGAATGCGATGCCTTACATCACGGGCAGAAGCAGGAAGTTATAAGGGATCTGGAGCAGAAGAACTTTGAGATCCAAGAGACGTTTTCAACTAACAAACAGTTAAAATGCACTTTTATTTGAGCATTTTTTTTACCTGCGCTGCCACTTACTGTACCAGCCTTGCGATCCACTACGTGTTGGGCAGTGTTCGATTAAGAGAACTGGATCGGACAGCACCAGAGGAAAATGAATAATAGTCACCTTGGGCTCAGAGGAAGCAGGTGTGGGGTCCACGTTGTCTTTCTGAGGCGGATTCTGTCTGCTCTGCGACTCTGCGCGGGAAATGTAGTCCGCCACCGTCACTGCGGGCAAGACAAAGAGGGTTCAGGACTTCCCAGCTCTAGTTTTGAGCCATGTCCTTCCTTTCTTCAACAAATCTTTTTTCTGCATGATATTCATGTGGATACTGCCTTCAACTAACATCAATACAAAGGAAATGTGCTATAAACTGAAAAACCAAACCGTCCTTTGAGCTACAACTGGTTTAGCAGCTACATGCAACACCAAAGCACACATTCAAATGTTATATGTATTGAAAGAAAACTATTAGTGCTTAATTACTCCGCTTCACAACTGGATGACTGCAACTACATCATTCATTAGTTCATATCAGTTTTGTGAATCTTAAATGTGGATATCCTATACATTAAGGAATAAGGGATTCACCGCTACTCTATTTGAGAAACACCCTGGGATTTTTAATGACCACAGAGAGTCAGGACCTTGGTTCTACGTCTCATCCGAAGGATGGTGCCTTTTTACAGTATACTGTCTCTGTCACTGTACTGGGGCATTAGGACCTACAAGGACTGCAGCGCCCCCCTACTGGCCCCACTAACACCTCTTCCAGCAGCAACCTTAGTTTTTCCCAGGAGCTCTCCCATCCAGGTACTGACCAGGCTCACACCTGCTTAACGTCAGTGGGCTGGCAGCTGTGAGTTGCGGGGTGATATGGCTGCTGGCTGCTGCCAACAATGACCAGGAATCGACAAAAGACAAAGCCAGACTGGCAAGGCATGGCAAAGGCCACTACTTCGCCAATCGGTGCTAGCCCAGGCCGCCCTGGAGGTGGCGCTATGGAGCACCCCATGAAACAAAGAGGTACAGGAGGAGCGCCTTGACGCGTTGTCTGGACCGGGCCACGTAGAGGGAAGAGGAGCGGAGGTCGGCCTGACTCACCGTGCTGCCGGTCCCGGCTGGCGGAGCCCCCCTCCGGGCGGTTGCCGCGGTTCCGGCGGCGCCGGCTGCGGTTCCTGCGCTGGGGTTTGCTGTCGTCTTCTGGCGAGGGAACGGAGAGGGAGGTCAGGCGAGACGCACGCACGCAAAACGGCTACAGAAACGTCAGAATTTGTGCTCCAAGACGAGCAGCGCAGCATCTGGCAAGCTAGTAGATTCCCTTTTCAGCGAGTCTGTGGTTTTCAGGACACTACCCAGTTCTCCTCACAGAGATTTTACTTCCATCTCCCTTTTTTATCCCTCAATTTTCTAACCGCATCTGTCATGCAGGGCTGCAGGGGAGGTGGAGCCTATACCAGCAAGCAATGGGCGAAAGGCAGGATACACCTGGACGGGACATAAGTTATAATACACACTCACACCAGGGCCAACTTTCTCACAAGCCAATTAACCCACCAGCCTGTCTTTGGACTGTGGGAAGAAATCCATGCAAATATGGAGAGAACATATGAACTCCACACAGACAGTACCTCAGGGATTGAACCCAAGGCCCCAGTGCTGTGAGGTAGCAATGTCTTTAAACTTATTTTGAGAGACTAGTTTGTCTTAACCTCATGTCTTAAAAGTTAAACAGAGGTAGGGAAGACCCTCCATTACTCCATGTATATAATTTAGCCTTAGTTTTGCCACTAATTGGATAGCAGACATGCAGACGAACAATTCTTCACATCTCTACTACAGCTTTAGCATTTTAATGATCTCTTAAATGCTGAAGAGTTGAAAAGAGTATAAAGGCAGGTGCAGTAAGAAAAAGCACAAGAACAAACTGGGAGCTGTAACAAATATTCCAAACCCTCAAAGGTAACATCACGGTCAACCCAACAGATTTCTTCAGAATGAAAAGGAGAGATTACTTTACACAAAGGATGGTGGGAGCGTGGCACAAGCAACAATGGCATGTTGTTGAAGCCAATAACCTGGCTGGATGAGATCCTTGTTTCAATTGGTAACGAACAGGCTGGACAGGCCGAATGGACAGGACCGTTTCCTAGCGGGAATCTCTCACCCAGTCCGTTCTCGCTCACTGATGGGCCATCGGACTCGGCCGCCCCGTCCATCACGCTGGGCTCCTGGTCGGTGCGCCGGCGCCGGGAACGCCGCCTCCTGTCCCCGCTGGCCTGGCTCTCGCTGGCGTCCGTGTCGCCGGCCTGATCAAGCTCGCCCGCTCGGTCCAGCAGGGAGAAGGGGTTGCTGTCGGGGTCCCGTAGCACTGAGACAGGAGGGATACAGGAACTTCAGTTACCAGGGCTGCCCACAAGGGGGCACAGGAAAGTACAGATGGTGCAAATATCACACCTGAGACTGAGGCCAGTGGACTTTCTGCCACTCATTTGCTATTTTCCCTCCCCAAAGATCTATCCTGTAGGAATTTGAAAAACCTTACAACGATGAATCTAATGAGAGCTTTTAATATAAAACTGAATCAGGTCTAGAAACAGTCATGCTCTTTTGTCACAAACATTACCAACTATAAACAAATATACTTGGTGGGGAAACAAAAATTCTGATCTGTTTAAGTCTGTGGTCTATATGCAGTTTACAAAGGAACAAGTAATAGGTTTATTTTCAGCATGGAATAAACCTATTACTTGTTCCTTTGCAGCCTACGCATGCTGACGCAGCTACCCACCTGAACTACTATATGCAGTTTAGACTTACTGGGTCACTGAGTGAAAAATGCCCTCTAGTGGATTCTGTGAGGATAATTATAGCATATAGTAAACAAGATGGCAAGATAAGGACAGATTTCAACACTATTATTGAAACCAAGGACCGGATAGTATAAACATGTTCAAAAAGACCAGGGAGTGAAAGCTTGGTAAGTCAAAGCCTTGATTTCTCAGAACTGTCCAGAAGCGAAACCAGGAGCAAAGAGGCCTGAAATGCTAGAAGGACAGACACTGGTAAAGACAAATCTGAGAGCGAGATTCCTAGGAATGAGATGAGTATCAGGAAAGTTTATCACTATTACAATACTGAACAGAACAGAAGCCAGTCAAGTCAGACACAACCATGGGGCTGACTTATTATTCAATATACCAAATGTATCGAGTATTTTAATAATGTTTTATTAAGACGGGTCTGGCTAAAATTCCCTTGACCGACTTAATCCAACTGAGCTGTGGACTGATGTTCTACATGAGGACTTCCATAAAGACCGTAACAGATGCCTTTTTGCCTTCCTTTCTACCCCCCCGCTTGAGAAGATCTGGCAGCTCCCCACAGCTAAATATAGTCCCAGAGCTGCACAGCACAGGAGCCTTGTCTATCACACACACCCCAGAAATGGAGGCGTTCTGCTGAAGGAGGTGCTGTATTTTGGCCAAGATCTTAAACAGAGAGCCTGATAAGAGAAAAGATGAGGGAGGCTCACTCCTATGTCTTAGGGAAGATCCGATTCAGTTCGCATTCTCTCCAGAGATGGAGTGGAAAAACAGCACAGCTGTGGTCTCCTCCCCACTTCTGCTGGGGTGGGCTGCTGTGCTGGCCCTTCCGAGACCCATTACAGGAGTCTCTAGTTCACCGACAGCTCTGAGATTGGTTGCGATTCTATTTTTTCAAGACATGAACAAGCATCTTAGATTAAGACATCTAAATGCACAGCAGGGCTGCAGGGTTAAAAAGCTCTTCCTATAAGGCCCCGCTTTCCTCCTCGCCCATCACCAGCCCGTCCTTGGCGCTGCTCTTCAAACCGCCAACTGTGTCTCCCCAGCTGCGAGTTCGAATCCAGGTGAAGCCATGTGCCTGCAAGACTCACCTGAGCTGATGGTGCTGCTGGCCGGGCGACCCCCGGGGCCCCCTCTGCCCCGGCTGGAGGGCAGGGGTCCCCCTCGGCCCCTGCCTCCGCGGCGGGGCCTCTCGTCCGCCGCCGCGCGGGGGCGCTGCTCCCTCTCGCTCACCTCCTCCGACTCCGAGGCGTTGGACAGCTCCGAGTTGGTGCCTGAAACGGACAGAGTTTAGAAAAGGGAGCCGTAAGCAAAGAACAGCTCTCGGAGAACACACGGCCTCACTTTTTTTTTTTAACATAAGCCATCAGTCTCATCCTCAACGGGGTCAGCTCAGCACTCTTCTCGGACATTACCAGACGTCGGCTGCGATGGGCGAGTGGTTAAGGCGTTGGACTCTCCCCCCCCCGCAGGTTCGAACCCTGTTTGCAGCGTTTTACCTCAGCCATATCACCCTGCAACTCACAACTGAAAAGCCACTGAAGCTCAGTCAGTACCCGGATGGGAGACCTCCTGGGAAAAACTAAGGTTGCCGCTGGAAGAGGTGTGAGAGGGACCAGCAGGGGGCGCTCACCCTGCAGTCTGTGTGGGTCCTAATGCCCCAGTATAGTGACGGGGACAGTATACTGTAAAAAGGCACCGTCCTTCGGATGGGATGTAAAACGAGGTCCCGACATTAAAAATCCCCCCAAAAAAGGCACTGCCCAAGTCGGGGCTGCACATTGGTGGTAGTGGAGGAGAGTCCACATTACCGGTACGGCGCTTCGAAGGGAATGTCCAGAAAAGTGCTGTATAAGTGTAAGGAAACTTTTCTCAAGCGGATTTACTACATTTACCACACTAAAATGGTAGGACTATTAC